CTGCTTGCTGCCTTTGGGGAGTGCTTGCACATGTCATCTTAGAAGCACAGTCCAGCCCACGAGCTGTGGGGACAAGACATCGTGCATTCAGACGTCAGGATTATTCTAAAACACTGTTATTTTATTTAGTTTATTTATTTAGCCTTGAGAGTGTCTCCAGACCTTTCACTGTTATCATGTTCCCTGGGACATGGTTGCCAGCATCTGGGTGCAACCCGGGATTTGTCAGGGATCTTCGCAGGTTGGAGGGTGGGTGGAGTGTTATGGAGAGGAAAGTGCTCACCTGTGCGAGGCTGTGGGGGTGTGGACATGCTGAACACAGCTGTGTCTGAAGGGGGATGCTTGTGCTAGCCTGTTTTGCAGAAGAGGGACACAAATTAGAGGCTTCATGGCTTGCCTTGTGCTGCAGAGTGACCAACCAGCCCTTGAAAGAAATACACCCAAAGCCTGGGTCTCCTCCAATAACTTCTGAGATTCTCCTGAATTGCAGCATCCCTGAGAGTTTGCCTGCAATATTTCCTTTGCTTGGCTCTATGATTGACAGCATGGACCCGTGATATGCACATCAGACCACCTGAAATGCTGTCCATGCTTCCCAGGAAAGCAGCCTGCTTTATTGGACTGCAGTGAGGGACTGGCTTGGAGGTGCAGAGGGAAGGGAGCTCTATGAGTAAAAACAAATATCAGAACAATAAAAGCTAGAATGTGACTGTCTAGGATATTAATCTCTCCACCTCTCTGTTATTTAGGATTTTTCTAACCTATCTCTCCAGTAGACGAAAACTGAAGAACATGTTTGCAGGTCTCTGACTCCTCTGTTTGGAGGTTTTCTTGTTGCTATTGAATACAAGTCAAGTTGCACATTTAAATCCTTCATTTTATCCTAATTAAGGAAACCATCTAAGACATATTCATCTCATGGCTTTGCTCCTCTCTTTGGCACTTGGCAGAAAGCTGAGCTGCTTAAGAACACGGAGAAAGAAGCTCAGAGGTGGAACAGAGGAGCCATAGGGCACCAGCTCCTCTGTATCCCACTGAATGCACCCTTGAGAGGGATCAGCTGAACTGAACACACAAACTTGCTTGGAGCCATTTGAAAAGGATGTTTTGAGAGGGCCCAACTGTGTTTATTTGGTGTGTAAGTTAACCTGAAAACACACCCTGTTGATTTGGAGTTGTGTCATGCCAACTCTGGGAGCTGAAGCTGTTACTCTGAAACCCAGTAGCTCTAACTCATATCTGCTCTGATCTCAGGGTGGAACTTAGCCTAGAGTCGCGTTTCTGGAGCCAAACCTGACTGGAAATATGGGCTGATTCCCCCCCTGCGAGGGCAGAGCAGCAGAGGCTGGGATGACAGGGTAGCACACAGGGAGAACAGTGACCAGCTCCCAGCTCCCTTGTGCTGGGCACAGGCCGATTCCTGAACCTCTCTATTTTCTTTTGAATTGAAAATTCTGGGGTTTTCTTTGAAGTTACTTTTCACACAGAAATCCCCTAGCTTTTCACTTAAGTGCTATTTTTTTAAAATGAAAGGGTTTGGGAATGCAGCAAAATCTTTTTGTTGTTATTTCATGGGTTTTTTTTCTTCCAATATGAAACATTCTTGTCAACTCCCCACCCTCTTATTTCCCGCAAACGCTCTTTTACGGAACGCGATTTTTTCCGTTAAATGTTTTGAGATTATACCAATCTCCAGAACTGTGTTTCCCCCAGCATCTGTGCTGCCCACATGAGGAAAACAAGGACTGATCAGTGATGTGCAGCAGTGCCAGGTGATGACAGTGACCGAGGGCCAGCAGGGACATGCTGAAAGGCTGGGTTGGACAGGAGTTCCTGCAGGGCATTCCTTAGCATTGGATAAACTCACGTGATCATGTTTAGGGCAGGCAGCCCTCAGGGTTTGCCTTATCAGGGGTTTGATTTGTTATTTTATGACTGAAATTTGATGTGATACTGCAGGCATGCCAACATGTGTGTGCTACCCCGCGTGTGTGATCCAAATGGAGTGGCCTAACTGTTGGAGCAATTCCTCTGATTTCGTTAGCTCCTTCTGGTGAAAACACTAAAAATGCCTGTGCCTTCCCAGAGAAGTTAACAACCTCCATGTGCTGCACAGCAGATGGTACAGTAAGGGTGGAGGCGTATTTTACAATAACCTTTTTTCCGCATGGGGAAATCGAGGCATTGAGGAGTCTCTTTCTGATGGCTGAGAATGAGTCAGGGGCAGAGAGAAACTACAGGGGTGCAGGAGATCAAGAAACAGTGCCCGAAGTTTTAGGGGCTGAGCTCGTCTTCAGCTTTAGCCAGACTTCAACAGTTGATCAACCTGGACTCTTCTAAGATCAGTAAGAGTGTGAGATATTTTCAGAAGACAACCTGCATTGCTTTGTTCTGAGATCTCCCTCCAGAACTGCCTACCCCTCTCCAGTGACTGTAGGAAACCCATGGTCAAACACCTCCTGTTTTAATCACCTTAGTCAGATGCCTACAGCTAAGTGGGATCTCATTAATGCCCAGGGAAGGGTCTAAGCCCTGTCCCACTGCTGATCGCAAATAAGTGCTGAAATCTTCAGGAACTGCTGTAGTTTAACCCCAGCCTGCAACTCAGCCTCACACACCTCTCTCCCTCACAGCAGGATGAGGGAGAAAATTGGAAGGGCAAAAGCCCTCCCAGTGTCCACATTTGTATAAATGTTGCCTCGGATAATTACAAAAGAAAATACATTTGTAAATGCCAAAATTTCCCAGTGGGCTCCCTAGGTAGAGCCAGCTCAGCTACCAAGTTCTTCCTCGTGAATAGCTGTGCTAATAATAGCCACTGAAATTAGATCAAACTACAGGACAGTGACAATAACAGCTCAGATTTTTCGGAACTGAATGACTTGTGCACTGCACCTTTTGCAAAGGCTGGCTATGAATGGCACAAGAGGAACTCTTTAATGCTGATCCCTCCTGAAAAATCTGGGCTTGACAACAAATGCTAAACCCCCAGGATAGCTGACCTTCCGCTCTTCCAAAGTGTTAGCATTGGTTATACCAGACCTGAATGCTGAACTTTACAGCAGGACATCTAACTGGGCAGCCAGCCCAGGAGAGAGATCTCACCAGTGACTCCAGTTAGGAGTTAGGAACTGATAGTGGCATCTAACGTGGATTTATCACTGCATTTTTGTTTGGTTTCTCCTACACCAGAGCTCCTGCTTAGGAGGAGAGATGTAAACTCACAGTAACTCAAATGAGGTGTAGAGGGCTGGGGGAGAATATGTCAGATGTTGTGCTCGTTTGACCCCCGTGGCTGACAAGAAAATGGCCCCAAGCAGAACAAAGTCAGCTCTGCCCACATGTGCTGTTGTCTTGGGCTGCCCATCTTCTTCCTGCTGTGCCAGCGATTCTTTGCCCACCTGTGGGCTCTGTTTCACTGTGTCACAGCCTGATCCATGTCTTCATCGCCACATACCCCATGTCCAAGCAATACCCAGCGCAATCCAGAGCATTCAGGTGCTGGAAAGAGCTCTCCCAGCCTGCTGTTTCGGGGCAGTGGCCGTGCCTGTGCACTTGGCTTGGAGGGATGCTGCTGTCTTCGCTCACATCTGCTTTGAGTGACCTGTAGGGGCAATGCCATCACTTTGAACATGCTGCATCTGTCCCTGTTTCCCCACTTAGACCCCAATAGGACCTCACCCCTGTCACCTTCGCTCATCCCTGTGGGGTGAAGCATCATCCCCCAGAGCGACTCGGCCGCCTGACGGGAAAAGCTCTTTCCTCATGATCTCATTCCCATGCGAGGGACGTTTTTGGGGCCCATCACTCATCCCCGGTTGGCTGCCGGCGCAGCCAGGGCGAGGAAGATGGAGTGGGGAGCCGTGCTCTGCCCTGCTCCGCCCGCCCCCGGCAGGACACGCCGTCCCAGGGCGTCTATTTTAACAGTGTGGTCTGAGGAGCCAGCTGGGAACCAGCAGCCAGGGCAGCGGAGGGAGGATGTGCTGCAGTCATAAAAATTCCACCCAGATAAATCAATAGAGGGAGGAGGAGAACGAGAGGGAGAGATGGCAGAGTCAGACATTGCTCCTCTCTGCCCACAGGAGAGAGGGAGACGATGCCTCGGTGGTCTTGGGGGTTCAGCAGGAGTGAAGGGGAGCAAGGATCAGGTCAGCAATTATCAGGAGCAGGTGATTGACTAGAGTGTGGACTGGTGAAACTGGATCTGGGGTCTGGTTCAGAGAGCTGCTGAGTGCCAGACATGTTCCTGCATGGCACTAATTAGCACCTTCTCAGGCAAGCTGAAAAAAGAGGTTAAGGAGCAAATTGGCTTGCAGCAGAGAGCAGCAGAACAGTGGGCTAATGGTGTGGACTACCCAGACAGGAGCTGCCTCCCAGAAGTTCCAGTTATCAGTGAGCTAGGACACACTCTCACCGGAACTGAAGGCCCTTATTATGGTGGAAATTCTCTTTTCTGTCTGCAAGACTCGAGATTTTAACTGGTTGCACCAAGAACTTGGAGCATAACAGCCTCTGCTCCAGCTTCCTTTTCTGATCTTCAGCAAGGGGCATGTGCCCAGGGACCCAGAGTGCCCTGAGTTTTCATGTAAACCATTTACAGGGTAAGTCCTGCAGCAAGGGATAGATTCTCACTAGATTTATGCACAACACTATCATTGCTGGATGTACAAATTAGGTGTGTGGAGCGCAGCTGGGCTGTATCCTAATAAATAACAGAAAGAGCTGTCTGCTTGCCTTCTCAGATAAGCTGGGGAGCAGCTTTCCCTGCCTGTGTTTAAAAGGTGTAGCTAAACTTAGGACTGGATTCAGCCAACATCCACAACATGCCCCTGCTTAACAGGAGCGTTGAGGTGTCTGCCAAGAGGAAGCCCAAGCCCTTGTTTGTAAGAAATGGATGTTATGGCTGTGACTCCAAAACAGCGGCCTGCAGATCGGGGGACAGGGCTCTGCTTTGCCTGAATTCCCTCTCAGGAAGGCCTGTTGTTCCTTCTGTTTGACAGGAATACACCATTGACATCTTCTTTGCTCAGACGTGGTACGACCGGCGCCTGCGCTTCAACAGCACCCTGAAGGCCCTGACGCTGAACACCAACATGGTGAGCCGCATCTGGATCCCAGACACCTTCTTCAGGAACTCCAAGAGGGCCGATTCCCACTGGATAACCACTCCCAACCAGCTCCTCCGCATCTGGAACGATGGCAAAGTGCTCTACACGCTCAGGTACATCCAGCAGGCACTCTGAGGTGAGGGAACAAGGAGATGGTCAAAGCAGGGGAGGTTCCAGGTGCCCTGGGACAGGCTAGCAGAGATGTCTCCCAGTGCTGCTTGCAGAATGGGCTTCCTCTCCCTAAGATGAAAGCTTCCAAAAAAAAAAAAAAAATCAGCCTGTTATATCCCATACCCCTCAAAAAAAAAAAGTCAAAACTACAAATGGTTTCCTAAACCAAAATCCTTTTTAAAGGATTAATGTTATGTTGTTCAGTTCAGCTATTTCGTTCTGCTAATAAACATTTGGCTTTTGTTCCCACAAATTCTCACTTCCATAAAGGAATCTGGAAAGTTGACTAAACAAAAAGCCTTTCTGAATGTGAAAATTAGAGGGTTCTCTTCACTTTGAAAATGTCCAAACATATATTTTGGTTTTCTGCTGGTTTGGAATGTTCCTGCAAACAGACTGATCTTCCACAAATTAGTTGTCAAGGAAGCGAGAATCGCTCTGTCACACTGTGGCGTTGGAATCAAACCACCTTCACCAACACAAAACCTCCTTCTCTCTGTCTTCCTGTCTCAGGCTGACAATCGAGGCTGAATGTCTGCTCCAGCTGCAGAATTTCCCAATGGACACTCACTCCTGCCCTTTGGTTTTTTCCAGTTGTGAGTACACGTATTTTTAAAATAGTTTTAGAAGGCAAGTAGAGAAACTTGAGTGGAGCAGTACTCTCCTGGGGAGACCATCCTCCCTTTTAGCTGTGTTTTTTCACCTAATCTCTGTGTCTCTCTTCATGAGCCCTGAAGCATCCTCCCTCTCCTGGGCTACCAGAGGTCATAAGGGACAGATTCACAGTAGCCCTGAGTTTCTCCTTAATTTGGATGGGTGGTTGGAGGAGATTATTTCTCTGACCTTCTGGTCACTCTAGGCAGAATATGGATATATTCTGGCAGACAAATGGCAGCTGTTCTTCCTTGCATTTTCCCCGTTCTCCCACTCTCTGAGGGGGCTACCAGGCTTTCCAGAGTGAGGTCTGCAAACATCCTGCACCCAAGGCCATCACAAAGGAGGGTTGCTCAGACCTCCCCTCTCAGTCACCACTCATCCAGGCTCTTTGGCACGGAGGGCTGCTGATGTTAGCACATCTCCACTGGTAATATTGCAGGGAGCCTTTCTGCACCAAGAGATCCCTGTCCTCCTGCGTGGGTGGGAAATCCAGCTTAATCATCCAAGCTCGGGTTCGCCTCTCCTGCTTCCCCTGCCACTGAAGAGATACAGCTCACAGAGCTCTGAGGTGCTTCAGAGGAGGCAGCACGCTGAGGAGATATCATCCCCTCGTCTCCCACCATCCCTCATTCTCCGCTAATTAACAGTACATGCCGTACACGCTTGATAATTAGAGACACACTGTTAGTTAGCTGCCAAGCTCTCACTCCATCCTCCTCTGAGGAGCTCTCTCTCAGGTCCCTGCTTCACAGCAGGCTTGTGTCTTTGTCAAGAAAGCCAGAGGCAGGAGGAGCTGTGCTGCAGCCTGCAGGACTGGGGCTTCTTCTCCGTGGAGAATGCATCCCTTCTTTTCCATAGATCAGCTCTCTCATCTAGTAGAACACCCCTGACAAGAGGAACCCCCCTGATAAGAGCAGGTGACGCAGGAATGAGGCCAGGTGGGTTTGGAATCCAGATTTTGACTCCAGAATCACTGGGAGGGAGACTCCACAACCACCCTGGGCAGCTCATTCCAGCGCTCTGCCACCCTCAAAGAAGTTCTCCCTCAGACCAAGGGAGTCCTCTTACACCTACTCATGTCTCATTCCCACCAGTGCAGTCCTTGGAAAGGCTCTGCTCCCAGCGTTGCTTTTCCCATCCCCAGGATCTGAAGCAGCCCTTGAGGGGAGATGCAGTCCCTACTCCCATTGCTATGTGGGAATGCCTAAGGGAATCCAAACAGGAGGCCTCAGAAATACCTGCCCTGAAGCTCCGTGTTTGCCTGACAGCTCAGGGGAAATGCCAGTGCTCCTGTGGTCGGGGTGGTGACTGAGGTGGAGGCACTCCCATGCTCTTCCACTGATGTCCGTGCCCCTTTTCCCAGACGGATACCCTCGGGAGGAGATCGTCTATCGCTGGAGACGCTACTCCATCGAGGTCTCCGACCAGCGCACCTGGAGGCTCTACCAGTTTGACTTCACGGGGCTGAGGAACACCTCGGAGGTTCTCAGGACCGGGGCAGGTGAGGCAAAGGGGGACAGCCCACGGAAACACCAGCGTGCTGGAGACCTGATGGGAGGCAAAGGAGTCACCAGACAGCTCCACAGCGCAGGGGGAGGAAGGTCCCAACAAGGGGCCTTGGCCAGAGGGAGCAGAAGTGATGGAGATGAAAGCAGGACTAGGCCAGAACCACTGACATCTGTGAGAACTGTGGGGTGGCAGTGCTGATGTGGATGAAGCAATCCCTAATTGAAGGTTTGGGAGGGAGAGCTCGTACCCCTCTTGCTGCAGTTGGTGCATATTGTGTGATCTCTGACTGGTGCTTAGGATTGGAAAAAGGGGTAGGGAAGTCAGAACCTGCAGGTCTCAATCTCTCCTTCTGTAAACTTGTGGCAGGCTGATGAACACCTGAATTGTGCTTTAAGAGACAGGGGTAAGGCTGCATGTGTGAAGAAACTAAGTGATGGAAGCCCTTCAACTCCCTCTCCTCCTTGTAATAGCTCACATCCCCTTTCCTTCCCACAGACAACTGAGGAAAGCCTCTGGATCCCTGAAGGTGGGGTGAGGTACTTTTAAGCCCTCTGGAACATCAAGGAGTAGTGCTTTTCCCACTCTGCACAAAGCTGCTGCTGTCCACAGTGGCAGCCAGCCTCTAACTGGGGTAGAAAGGCAGCACGAACGGGGACAAGAAGTGAAAGTGTCTTGAATGCACCCGCGGCCTTCTGATGCTTGCAATTCTCTTTTTTTGGGTAATTGCTTGCAAGCTCCATCTTAACCCTAAAGCTGTCAGGTGGCTTTCTTCCAATACTCCCTGGGAGTCTCTGAAAAGAGAAGGAAGCTCTGCTGTAAGTTGCCAAACGAGCAATCAGGTTGTACGGCACCACACGCCTTTTCCAGAGGCAGCACCAGACTCTCAGTGGAAGTGATTGAAGGACACCTCCTTTGTCACAGCTCGGGTAGCTCGTTAGCAAGCCAGGCCATGGAGCCTGTTATAGCCCAGGAGCTTCTATAGAAGAGAAACCCTCTCAGCAACCAGCTGAAGATGAATGATCTCTGCAGGTTCTTCCCTGAAACTTCTCCAAACTGTGTGCTTTGCAGTGTCCTTAGAGGCATAGCCAGGCAGGTCTAAATGCAGCCTGGTGGCCATATAGGCAGCCAGGCAAACAGCCAGTTTGGCATCCAGCAAGTCACACTTGAAATGGTCACGCAGATATTAAGTCAGATAGCTACAGAGCCAGCCAGGTAGCGACAGAGTCCACTAGCCACCAAACCAGACAGTCAACAAGCCTACTCAGCCAGCCACATGAAGATACCAGTCTGGGCAGCTACAAAACCAGAGGGCCAGGCCCTTAAAACGACAAGAAAACCTCATCAGAAATGCTCTGAATTCAGAAACTTTGCTGATTTTTGTGCTTGAGGAAGCCCTGTGTTCTGATTCCACTGTCTCTGTTGCTTCCTCCTAGGGGAGTACATGGTGATGACAGTGTCTTTTGACCTCAGCAGGCGTATGGGTTATTTTGCCATTCAGACCTACATTCCCTGCATCCTGACTGTTGTGCTTTCCTGGGTTTCCTTCTGGATTAAGAGAGACTCTACACCAGCCAGGACATCTCTGGGTAAGAGACAGGATGATGCATGTCTGGTGCTTGTCAAACTCTGCCAGGCTGGCAGGCTGGCAGTGCTGGAGTACGAAATTTCCCAGAGAGCTTTGCCATTGTCTGGAATTTTTGAATTTACTGGAGAATAGTCCACTCCTCCAGCTTCCTGTTGGTAACACTGTTCTCAAGATCAACCCAATCTCCAGCTGTGCTGGCTTGGACTCCTGGATTATTTTAGGATAGCACATCACTCTCATGTCTTGATCTGAGACCTGAACATGGCCTTTTCCAAGCTGACAAGGGGGTAATCTCATGCACTGAAAGGGAGAGGGAGGGGGTGAGCTGTGCCACTGCAGTGCTGCCCAAAGGGCTCCTGTCTGTCCTTGTATTCCATATTTCCTCGTGACTTCTCAAGGCCTCAGCACAGGACCAGTGACAGGAAGGTTGTAGGGTTAATGGGCAAAGTTGCTCAGCTGTATCCACAAAGCCCCAAGCTCTGGCAGGAGGTGGAAGCCCTATAGGTACAACCTTTTTCTGCCAGTCACCCCACAGGACCCAGGACAGAGGAGGTGGCAACGGTTCTTCCCATTATTTAGATTTTCTCAGCAAACTGCAGTGGCTCTTTGAGGCAGAATCAAAGCTTCTGTTGGTTGAATGCTGCTCTTGATAGGTGCTGGAGAGGCCTTTGCAAACCTTTAATACACTTTGGCTGTATCTGCATTTTACAGCAAGCTCTGATTCCCAGCGCTGTCCTCCCCATCAGCCCTGCTGACTTCCCCTTTAATTGGAGGTAGCGTTCCCAGCCCTGCCTGCAGGTTCTCTGTGGGGATAGAGAGGAGAGGAGGGGCCATCAGCTATTCAGAGCCCATCCATGCTGACCATGTCTCCCCGCTCCCCCCAGCAAAAATTGATTCCTTTGGTGCCCACGGAAAGAGGAGATGGAGGAGGGTGTCACTTCCAATGGAGGTGAGGGAATGCCACGGTCCTTGGCTGGTAGAAAAGGAACAGCAAGAGGCAAAGTGCTCTGCACAGTTTGCACAGCCCTGGTGGCTGTCTCAGAAAACAAGGCAAGGTTCCCCCAGGAGAGGGGCCCCTCTCTGTGGGAAGGGGTCTCAGCACAGGAAGAAAAATGTGTTCTCTCCACAGCCCCACTTCACTTAATACAAATGATCCCCAGCACATTTCAAGCCCGCCAGCCTGCATCAGGGAAATGGGAACTGGACCGGTTCCACCGGCACTTCAGATGGATGGGAAGTCACATCACATCTGCTAATGCAAATATAGCAGGAAAATGTAAAATATTTTGCCATGCTTGTACCCAGAGCCACTGGGGTGACCCCAGGAGAGGGTGGCAGGTGGATTTAGATGAGTGCTGGAGAAGGAGAAACGTGGGGAGTTCTTGCTTCTTCCCCACGTCCTAGAAGCCAGGGGATGAGATCACAATACCAACTCTTGCAGCTAATCCTTTGTTGGCTCCTGACACTTTATCACAGGTCTGTGAGCATTACTGCTGCTGCAAAAACAATTCCAAGCCCCATTCAAGTCAAAAGAAATTCCTTATCACCTCCCACCCACTTGCCCTCTGCGTCAAGAAATGGATAGATTGTGAAGAGCTGTCTCTGAAGAACAGCCACGAGCAGATTGAAAGCTTATGGGTAAGATTCAGAGACCTAGGAAACAAAGGGAAGCCTGTGACTGGTGTCTACTTCAAGTTGCCTAATGAAGGAGAGAGCACTGACAGAGCCTTCCTGCTCCAGCTATGGGAGGCAGAGAGGACGTGGGGATGTTTTGGGGGTTGGATGCATTTGGGAGGCAGAAATGCTCCTCACTGTTACTCACACCACCCTTTTCGTTCTTAGGAATCACGACAGTGCTCACAATGACCACCCTGAGCACCATCTCCCGCAAGCACCTGCCCCGTGTGTCCTACATCACAGCCATGGACCTCTTCGTCTCCGTCTGCTTCATCTTCGTGTTCGCGGCTCTCATGGAGTACGCTACGCTCAACTACCTGGTGGGGAACAAGAAACCACTGGAGCACAACAACAGGAAAGCCAGGCTGGTAGGTCAGGGGGGCCAGCAGAGGGGAATGATGCTAGAAACCCAAACTATTTAGAAATATCCCTCCTGAGCCCGGACTGGAAATTGCCGATGTCGTTTGGTGCCTGACGCGTATTCATAAAGGCTTCTGACCACTCTGTGTGTTGGGTCTGAGCACCTGAAAGGTGGGACACAACCAGAAAAAGCAGCTGAAAAACACAAAGAAGCCCCTATCAGACCCAGGCACCCTGTGCTCTCTTCAAAACTGCTAGAGAGCTTATTAGTACAGCCTATAGTTTAATTTAGTTTACACTCACGTGACCAAATGTAAATGTTCACTTTAAGACCCGTTCTTCCACCTGTGTCAGTTTGACCTCTGTGGATCACAGAGGTATCTTAGGTCACAGAGATGCAGAAACCTACCTCCTTTTGGGGTCTGTCCATCACAGGACCTGTTGAATGTGGGGAGAGGGAGCACAGGGTGGTCATCATTCTCATCATCCGTCATGAGATCTGCCCAAGCTCGTGTCAGGTATTTCTGACACATCAACTGAAACAGACCTGTGAACTGGAGGAGAAATGAAAGCAAAAAAAGACAGATCTCTTCTGTGCCAGGCTCATTTCCCAGCATATCCTTCATATCCTAGGGTGGATAGAGCTCTTCCATGAGGCTGATGATATGCCTCCTCCTGGGCCAAGAAGTTATGAGTCACACACAGCCTTTCCTCAGCTTTTCTCCAGTACCTGCCAGCAACCAGGAGACACATTTTGGACTGTGTGCCTTCAGAAACAGCTGAGCTCAGGGGAATGAGGGAAGGGGCTGAAATCAGACAGGTCCTGTTTCTGCACTGACTATTAGTGGCAGAGATTGAGAATCAGAGCAATTAGATCTTTGCTGCCTTGGCTCTGGGGTGCCAGGGAGGGCACTCACAGCCATGCAGGGAGCTGCCAATTCCCGCACTGTGCCAGTGTGGTGATTTACATCCAGGTGCAGAGATGGGAGATGATCAGTCATCCCTCTCCACTGAACTGGTGTCTAGATTATGTTTTCTTGCCTCTTCCTTCCCTTTAATCTGCCTCCCTCTCCCCGTTACAGCCGCCTGCCGGTGCACAGGTGATGCCAACCTTTACCACCATCAACATCAACCACATCATGCACTGGCCCCCAGAGATAGAGGAGGATGACGATGATGATCCTGGCTCCCCGTGCCTGGAAGGAAAGGAATGTGAGAGGTTCTTCTGCTGCATTGAGGACTGTCAGACGGGGATGTGGCGGGAGGGCAGGGTCCGCATCCACATCTCCCGCCTGGACTCCTACTCCCGCGTCTTCTTCCCCACTGCCTTCCTGCTCTTCAACATCGTCTACTGGATTGCCTATCTCTATCTCTAGCCCTTTTTTGCCCTCAGCTGGAATGGACTGGAGACCAGCAAGGTGGGCTTCTCAAGGAGCATAGAGAACAGCATCTCTTCTGTTGTAGTCAGCTGTCAGTCGGAACAATCCAACCTGGTGGCTCCCTCTTCCTGCTCTCTCTCATCTCTTCTGAGAAGAACCAAACAGCTTTTTTTTTTTTTAGCCTTCTAACATGTCTTTTTAGAGAATCTACCTTTCCCAAACAGCCTCATCTCCAACACCACCAGCATTGTACTCCTTGTAAGATTGCCCAAAAACATCCTATTCCCATCTCAAGCATTAGGGATTTTGTCAAAAACAAAAACCTTAATGCATTTCGATTATCCACCCAATCCTACTCCAAAATTCCAAGGGAAATGATGGCAAATGGAGTTTCCTGCATAGTTTTTAAGACTGTAGAGGAAATAAAGGGGATCTTACAGCTTCTGCACCACTTCTAGCAGAACAGACTTTGTGGAATGCTAGAAGCTTGGAAAGGTCAGAAGGAAATAGGGTGGAAAAGGGCAGCAGTACAGCTTCCCACAGTAACTGGGCTTGGCTAAAATGTTTTGAACCTGCCCAGGCATCTGACAGTGGCACTGACAAGGAGGAAGTAGCTCCAAGCCTCCACCAGCTCCCAGCAGAACATCTATGAAGAATTCCTCGTGGATCACTCCACCTGCTGTGCCAAGTGGCACCCAAGGCATCCACCCACTGATTCTCCTCAGACGGTGGCAAAAAGCACTTCACAAGTTTGCAGGGCCCGTCTGCCTTCCTGGAGCAGACTCTTCAGGGCCCACAGTGACATTCTCTGCTTTGTGACGGGACTTGGACAGGGCTCTGCAGCTCACGTTGGGCATCACCAAAAGAGGGTGAAAGTCCTTGTGCTACAAAGGCCAGCAGTCTCCCGAGCCTGACATGAGGTTTTCTTTGGCCTGTCCCACCTGAGCTGGGCCTTCTTGTGCCGTGCAGCAACACCTGTCGAGACCATCAGGTCTGCTGCACCTACCAGTGGTGGGAAGAGAGCATTCCCGCAGCTCAGATGTGTTCCTTTAATTCTTCTTTTTTTTTTTTTTTTTCCCCATAATTACATAAAATGACAGTCTTCAGTAAGGGTGTATGACTCCTCCCAGTTGCCATCAATACTTGGCCCTTTTCCTCCCCAAAACAGGGATGGGAGTGGGGTGTCCTTGATAGATGTCAAGGTCAGACATTTTGAGGTGGTTCCTTATGGTCCATCTTAAAGGGATGGAGAAATCCTTAATGCAGTTTCAACTGGGAAGAAACTGCGTAGTGTAGAAGAGGAAACTCAGGCCCAAGGTCCATAATCTGTAAACTGGCTGCCTCCCCATTTATACCATCTGCTGATGTGGCCCACACCATGATTGCGAAAAGCAACGGGCCATTAATAGTTACTTACTGTGTAAATTAGAAACAAAGAAGATCTTTTTTTAAAAACAGCATGTTTTAGAAAAAAAACTAGTACTTAAAAGACTTGTCATGAGAAGAAAGCCAGCAGGGCTGCAGAGGAAAAGTTAGGGAAGGCTGGCTCACAGGACAGCTAACAGAGGCAGGAGGTTTTACACATTCTTGGAGAGCAACTCGATCTGGTTTAAAGACGGATTTTGACACTGTTAAATCTGATCTGAATAACGAAGTGTCATGTTTAATTCATTCATAAATACAGCCTTACCTTGGTTCCAGAGGAACAGCTAGAGCATCTTATTAAGTATACAATAGTACAACAGTCAGCTAAGTATAACCTAATGGGGTCAGACCAGCAGAGCTCTGAAAGGGGAAATTGTGCCTGTCTAACCTGTTACAGTTCTTCTTTTAAAATACCAAGTAAGAGATAAAGGTTACCCAGAAGCATAATTTGCCTAGCTGCTCCGACAGCTTATGAAAGGATGGAAAGAAATTATGGCGGGCGGTTCTAACTGAGGAAATTGATTTAGCAAAAGAATTATTAAGGAGGTTCTAATTAGAGGAAATTAACTGAGGAGGGGGGGGGGGAAAGAATTGTTAAGGAGGCTCTAATTAGAGGAAATTAATGTTTTAGAGGGAAAGACACAGAGAGGGAGAAGTCTAAGAAAAGAATCAAAACAACCTGCAGACAAGGGGAGCTGCTGGGTGACAGTGCCGACTCCCAGCCGGGCGGGTTGATGTTCTGCTCCCGATAGCAAAGAGCTATTCGATGTAGCAACAGAAAAACCTGCTATGACTCAGCCCTACACCAACGGGGAGCTGGATAAAACGGGGTCCTGTGATCTCCGTCGGGAGCCGAAAGGAAGGAGCATCCGAGATTGAAACCGGCTCACACTGCAGATGCTGAGTGAAGCGTCTCCACGTTTCGGGAGGCAGCTGTTGGTGTGTGCGTGGGAGGGGACACCCCGTGGCAAACCAGGACCCAGGCCAAAAATGCTCCTTCACAGGCTGGTGGCTCGAAAGGTGTGCTGGCAGTGTAGGCTGCAGCAGAGCGTGGAAGGGGAGCATCTGAGGAAGGGAGAGGGTGGAAGGGAAAATCTTAACAGCCAAGTGCAAAGGAGTCCAAACAGCTACAATTTGCTGTAACTTCAAAGCTGCGGGGGGACCATTGATGGACACAGGTGATTATCACTGGAGTACAGACTTCAACTCTGAGAGCAGCAACTTGTTGAAATTAGACCTTTTAACAAAACCAAGCAGGAGAGAAACAGGGTGTGCGAGAAACCCGAGAGGATGACAGGGACTCGGACAAAGAAGACTTGAAAGATTGTAAGATTTCACCAAAAAAAAAAAAAAAGAAAAAGAGAAAGCCAACACACACCTAGGTAATTTAACCAATGATGGAGGATTTGACAGAGGAAAATAGCCTAGCGTGGGCTGGAGCACAAGGGAGCTGATTACTAAGGCTGGGGAAGGAGGAGGGAGGGGGCTTTTTGGCTTAGGGAAATCTGTGCCCATCATAAATAGCGCAATAAATAAAGGCATGAACAAATCCAATCATGTTTTTAAGTTTCTATAGCATCTCAAAAAAAAAAAAAAAAAAAAAAAAGGAAAGCCGTGAAAAGCCAAAAAGAAAAATCTGCCATTTTTTAGGATTGCTGTGCAAAGCTCCAGTTTCCTGAAAAAAAGGTTTCCCTGCTATCAGGAGGGAATCCAGCACACAGGGACATCCAGCAGCCATGTGTTGCCCTGCTCAGCATGGCAGTGGGAGTTGACCCCGCTGGCCCCTCCTAGACTGGCACAAACCACCTGCCTTTCCCTGCATTCTGTACTTTCTGCCATCATGCTGAAGTGGGTTATGGCACCCACAGTGTCTCTCAGCCCAGGACAGTTCACTCCAGGGGACACTGCCCAAAAAAACATGGGGCTAAACTGTGCCACCCTGGCCAGGAGGGACTGAGGAACCAGGGGTGCTGTAAAACACCTGGGTGGTTCCAAACATCTGGGTGTCTGTGCTGCTTTCTCTCGTGGAGGTTTTGAGATTCTTCCCCTCCCAAAACCTTGGTGGAGGAGCTGCACATTGTCACCCTCGAAGGCTGAGCTGGTGCTGGGCTTCCCTCGCCTCCTCCCTCCCCTTCCCAGGGATCAGAGAGCCACGTTCCCACCCCTGGTGTCTACAGAGAACCTCTCTCAGACAGCTCCTACATGGCAAGTTTCCTTGCTGGTGGCCTGAAAGTGCCTGGTGCTGGCCATCATGGTTGGATATTAGGGAAAATTTCTTTACTGGAAGGGCTGTCAGGCACTGGAACAGGCTGCCCAGGGCAATCACCACCCCTGGAGGTATTTAAAAGACATGGACACATGGCACTTGGGGGCATGGTTTAGTGATAGACTAAAACTAACACTGGTAGTGTTGGGTTTATGCTTGGACTCAACGATCTTGAAAGGTCTTTTCCAGCCTGTGTGATTCTGATTCTATCATTCTATCATCTGGCTAATGATGGGGACTGGAAATGATGATCTCAGCATTTATATTTTATGGCTTTTGTTTGGAAGATGAAAGGAAATCAGAAAAAAAAAAAAAAAAGGTTGATGTTTCATTTCTCTGCCTCCAATTCCTATTCTTCCCCTCCAAATGATGCCACATGAGGGACCATTTTTAGACTGTATGATCTTCAGGGCAGGGACTCTGTTGCTGTGTGTCTGTACAGGGTTTGGCACTCTAGGGCTTGATCCTTGACTGAGATTTCTGGATGCTACTTATTATACATAATAAAGGACATCATGGACTGCCCATCTTCAACATCATGTTGTCTGTCCACATTTTGTAAGAAGGCTAAAAATTGCCCCCTGCCCCCCTCCTGTGGGGGTTACTGGAGCTGGGTAATTTTTTTATTTCCCCACAGAATATTATCTTGTTAGAAAGTAGGGGGAAATGTCAGTCTGATATTTTGGGGGTGGGTGGGGGATATTTTTGGGGGCTTTAAAGGAGAAGGCAGAAGCTGCTTCAAATCAACACCGCTCAGAAGGAATCTCTTTAAATGATTTAAAATCATTATTTGTAGTGCAAGATAAGCCCCTGCTTGGTCCCCTCAGTCTGTTACCATTGTAAAGAAAACGTTTTCCCGAGTGCTTTGGGGCAGAGGTGGTTGGGCAATAATATTTGGTGCACTTGACTTCAACCTTTCTATTTCCCATTGCAGTGCTGGTGACTTTTGGAGTGATCCTAATCAAAAGGACAAACCCAGCTCTGGAAAAGGCCTCCCTCAAGAGGGAGCCTCTTGACCCGAAATCCATCCCCGGGCCCACACAGACACGTCTGTGACACTTTAACCTTCATTCTTTTGTTTAAGCATTCATTAGTCATGACTGATGCACTAAAGAAATTAATCGGCCTCTTGCTATGCCCCCAAAACACTGTCTCCCTCCCACATCCTGCCATGCTGCTGCCTCTCTGTCTAGAAAGTCCCCTAAAATTTCCCCTCAACAGCCAGTTTACCCAGGGGAGAAGGAAAGGGAGCATTGCTGCTAATGGAAAAGCTCCCTCCTACCCATCAAACACCCCAAGATCACCCTAACACATGACTCATCACAGGAGGATGGACAGAGGCCCCCAAAGGCTCCTCCACCTTTCCTCCACCATCCGCAGGCTTGATGATCATTCAACCTGCTTTCCGAGGGTGGGCAGTGCTGGAGTGCCCTGGGATAGAGACCCCTGGCTTGGGGACAAAAAACACCATCCCACAAAGGAAGCACCTCCTGCCTCTCTCCAGCACACCATGTATCCCTCCAAGCTTTGACAGCTCCCCAGATGTCAAAAACATGAGGTGGTAAAGGATGGGGGGGGGGGGGGGGGGGGGGGGGGGGGGGATTGGGGGAGAAGAGAAAGTTATATTAAGTCATTACTTTTTATATTCCTAAAATACTTTCATTATAATTTGTCTTCCTCTTAATGCCTCAGATTTTATAGGCCTTGGGGGAGATTGAATTTAAGGAGAATGAGTGTGGCCAAAAATATTTT